TGGAGATTCTCCTTCTCTCTCTGCCCTTCCCGCCACCCTCAAAAAAATTAATTAAAAAAAAAAAATAGAATCCTGTGCCAGACTCTAAATGTCACAATTTCAGGCAGCATATCATTATTTATCCATACATGTTATGTGGATACACCATGGTACCACAAAGAGGAAACATTTTAAGACACTAATACCTAAGAAACTGAAAACAGCTAAGAAGACAGGTACACTCACTCCAACTCTTCCACACAAGCTACCATTAAAGCACCCATTTCAAGGAAAAGGTATCATAAAGATCCCATATAATAATAGAAGGTATCGCTTCCTCTAAAATAGAGCTTTAAAAAGGAATGGGATTCCTACTTGAATGAGAGCAGAACACTTCAAGAGAAATGGAGGACAGGAATTCTTTTGAGGACTCGATGACACAAGTACTAAATACGTCATTTTTAAAATGACACTCATAACCTTCAGATCAGCTTGTTCTGAGTTTTGCTTCTTGTCAGGCTCATGAATTTTCTGCACTGATCAATCCAGCACATAATCTCCCTCTAAGCTTAACCAGGCGCACACATGTAAAACATCTGGCTGGGGTTGAGAGGTGCAGTTTGCAGCTTAGTGAGATATGCCAGCTCACCTGGGAACCCTGTGCAGAAATGGCTGCTGAATAAACGAACACAGAAATATATATGCAACAGTCCTAGCATAACTTTCTCTGTGACTAATTCTCACCCCTTTAGGGGAGGAAAGGGAGGGATGTCTGATGAGGGCATGCGGGAAGCAGGTAGTGATCATAAGGAAATTTGTGAGGGGGCTACCAAGAACGTTTTTGGCACTGCGCGTGGAGTTCTTACTAGAGAGAGAAAATCAAACAGATTGAAAAATGAACAACCAGCACCTTGGTTCTGGCAGCCTGCCAGGTAGCTTTTGCTTACCTTTGATCCTGGTTAAAAACCATGCGGGATGTGTCACAACAGAAGTGTCTTTCTTTATAACAATCTCTACACCATAGAGGTATCTTTCTAACCAAAGGACACATTCGTTTGGAAGAGCTCTAAAGAATATCGGGAAGGAACTTGATCTCATTTGACCAAGAGGCTGGGACTCAGAAACGTTAAGTGACTTACCTAAGGTCACCCAGCTGGCAGCACTGTCTAGCCTTGGGCCAAGAGCTACCCAGAATTTCCCAAGATAAAATATGTGTGCCTACTAATATGTTTTTAAAGAGACAAGGTCTCCTCTCCCTCAGGACTACAGCTTTATCACTATATCTTCTAATTCCCTAGAATCAGAACACTTTGGTATAAAATTAAGCAGACATTGTTTTAAAACCATCCACCAATTGGGTGGGGAGGGTGCCCACATGTCAGGTTTGAAAAGGAATTTCTATCTCTGATACATCTTACTATGGCATGACATTTAAGAAAGTTTACCCATATTTACAATGTTGCTTGAAACTGAAACATAAAGACACATCATTATCTCATATATAATTGATGGTGGATAAAAAGCATCATTGGAAAAATATACAATTTGCATTAAAACTTCAGGTATTCCAAGTTACAAAGACTAATTTATTTCATAGAATGAGGAATTACATTACTACTACACCTGATATCAGCCAAACATTTGTGTCTATAAAGTATCTTTTCTTTCGTATTTATAAAAACTAGAAAAGAAAGCACATGCACTAACCAAGGTTTAAAAAAAAACAAAAAACTTGCAGCATAGACAGCTACAAATAGTGCTCTCCATGGTGAGAAATAAAGTCCACACTTAAGCATCCTAGCAAAATTTTCACCACACACACACACAAATGCACACGCTTAACAGATGGATTCTAAAAAACAGCTAAGCATTCCATAAGCCAAATGCTCAAAAATTAATAATAAAAGATGGTTAACATTCCTGTATGTGTGATATTGTATAAATGAGCAGACCCACCTCTGTCCTCACTTCTCATCTCAACCTCCTTTTCCCAACGCTGAGCTCACCCTCCCATCTCCCCCTACTCTGCAACCAAATTACAACCACCCAAAAGCAAGGTGTCTGCTGCAGCCCAAAACATTTGACCGATAATATCCGGTTTGCCATTCCAGGAAATCCCAGAGTGTGTTTTAAGCCTCTGCCCAAGGCTTATAAAGAAAGGCGAGAGAAAAACTAATCAATACCAGCACCCAGCTGTGACCTGGCACAGAAAGAAATCAAGAAAATAAATCCCATCCATAATCTGTATAATTTAACACTTGGAAGAAAGCAACATCTGGGATCGACTCCAAGCGGGACAGTGTTGCTGGATGGGTCTGTGTTTCTTCCAATGAGTGTTAAACCCAGTGACAAGGGGACACTCCAGTTCCTCACCATTTCAGCAAAGGCAATGTCTTTCCCAGCAAGGGTTAATCTACCCAAAAAGGTGGGGGAGAGTGGACAGAAGGAAAATAACAACCACCAACATCTACTCCTTGCCAGGACAGTGCCTAGCAAAGGTTCCCATCACACTTTGAAGAGAGGGAAGGCTGGAACCCCTTCCCAAAGGTGGGTCCAGGACAAACTATTGTCTTGCTGAACAGTCACAAACAGAAAGAAAGCTCATTAGCTTTCATTGACTTTGTTTAATCTTACAGTCCTTTCAGTGGACTCCAAAGTCCTATCCCCATGCAAAGTTTAAAAAAAAAAATCTCGTATGACTAAGATTCCCTGGAAAGGCTTTCCACATTGTCTAAATTACAGGGAAATTAATTTAGAACAGAAGCAGATACCTACACATCGTCTAAATCACTAGATCTGTACCCAATTAAAAAAAGAAAAAGTACACCAATCAGCAGAACGGGGCATTATAGGGAATAAAGACTGTTAGTAAAATCCAAAATGCTTTCTCCCTGTTAAACCTTCTGAGAGGTTATAATTGCATTTGGCCGCTGCAGGCTTGTCAGAGAGCCTGGCTTCTTAATAGCCACAACCTTAAAAGGAGTAACTGTCAAGGGGCGACCCAGCTGAAATCAAACAACAAAAACAGGAACTGTAATCAGCCTGAAATGGGAGGAGGGAAAGGAAGGGAGACTCCTGTATTCATCAGTCAACATTAATGTCCTTTGTTGTTCACCTTTGCACAGAACAGCGAGCATTACCCTGTTCCTTCTCCTCCGAAAGCCAGTGTCAGGGTAGTGCTTTCCTAAAAGCTGTCTCCTCGCCTCGAAGACCCAAGGCTTTCTGATTTCCCCTTCCCCATTATCACTCCACAGCTGTCCTCCACCAACCCCCAACGCTCTTACCCCGGGCCGAGAGGGTGGCCAGAAGTAAAAGCATTGCTGAAATACCCGTTCCCCTCCAAAGACCAAAGAGGCGCAGATGTTGAAATTTACCAATCCCCCCAGCCCCTAAACACTCACACCCCATAAACCCGGGATAGGAGGGAGGAAGGAAGCTAGGGTCAGGCTCGGTCTGTCAGAGCGGCTCCTTTGAGGACAGTGCCACATTCCGCACTCCGGGAATGTCGAAGGGAGCCGGAGGGAGGGTTTTGCGCCCCCCTCCCCTTCTGTTTTGGGGGTGTTCTCTCTGCGCAGTACTTGTTGTCTCTCTCTCCACCCCAGGGAATCGTTGCAGCCCACTGCCCTCTTTGGGGAAGAAAGATAAGGAGGGAGAGGAGCGGAACGCCGTTCACCCTCCTCTTCAACTTGACTCACACACGCCCCGTCGCCACTCCAAACTCCGCAGGCAGAGCCCGCAGCAGGAGGGCTGGCCGCGCGCTCCCCCAGCCGTCCCGGCACTCCGGGAGCCGGTGCGGGGAGCACCGATGGGGCGGTGAAGGCGAGACCCCAGCGCATACCCCACTGCCCGGAGCCGGCTCGGCAAAGCCCCAAACCCGCAGCGTGATGCCAGGATTAGGCATTTCCAGCCCGGCAGAGCGAGAGGGGCGCAGGGGCAAGGACGCGAAATGCGCACCCGCTCGGGCCAGAGCGGAATAAAAGTTCGCCCCGCGGAGACTTACCCACGCCGTATTTCTCGTGCTCCGTAGGTATCCACATGGCTAAAGAGGGGTCCGGGGTCTTCCGGCTTTGTAATCCCCGCGCCTTCTCCGTCTCACAACAATGCACAGCTCCCGAGTAGCGGCTGCAACGCTGAAGCCCCGCGGCTCCGCTCGGGCTGTGAGCGCTAGGCAAGGTCTGCGCTGGAGGCTCCCGAGCCCGGCGGTGACACCGCTCCGCTGAGGGTGCGCCGCCCGCCGCTCTCCCGGCGGCGGCTGCTCACAGTCCTCCGACGCGCTCTTGGGGACCCGGCGGCGCAGTCATTGTTCTGATTCACTGAACTAAGCTACAAGCCAGGGTACTCTCCGGCGCACCCCCGCCCGCCAGCGCCTCTTCCAGCCCTCCCTGTCCCGGAGTCCCCACAGCACGCTGGGAATTGTAGTTCTGGGCGGCTCCATCCCGGAAGGGGGCGTGGCAACAGCGGTTGGGGGCGGGGATTAGGCGCCGCTCTCCGTGTCCTATTGGCCTAGAACGTGATGGCGAGGCGTGGACGTGGAGGAACCCCGCGGTGATGGGGGGGTTCGCCTCCAGTCGCGTTTCCATTGGTTCCGGGCTCCCAGCTGCCCTCCCTTTTCTCGTCTGTCTTGTAATGGCTGCTCCCGAGACCCAGGGGGCTGCTGCCCGAGGGGAGGAGGACTGCAAGAGCAACCATAGCGAATCTGGGAGTGTCAGTTATGAGGGTGAGTACGGTTCCACTGAACCGTAAGTGGTCTTTTTCCCTCTCTCTCCGATCAGGATTGCAGCTGACCGCCAGGCAAACCCCAGGAGCCTGCCAGCTCTAAAGCCACCTGAGCGCCAGGGATCCATGGGAGGGGCCCAGCGGGGCGGTGTGGGGTCGGAAGCGGATACTTGGTGACGGCTGTCTGGGTAGGGAAAAGAAAATGGGATGGAATGGGCTTCCCGGCGACCAGAGAAGCTCCCTGAGCGTTTTTCTTCGGTTTGGAGCTCCCAGGTTTGCGCTTGCTGCCGGGTGGGTGTGTGTCAAGTCACGTTCGCGCATGTGTGATTGTAACTCCGGTATTAGCTCTCTCCTCTCCGGTATCCTGCCTCCGCCTCGGTTTGCTTGGTTTGGCCTCGGGAGATATATTTTACTTGTATTCGGGCGGTTTTCCGGTTGCAGATTGGTCACTTCTCTCCACTCTACAGATTTATTCGATGGCTGGCAAGAGCGGCATCTGAAGAGAAAGTGTCTCTCACAGCCTCTTTGGTAGCTCTTGACCGCCCCAGGCGATTGCCAGGATTGAATGTGGACCCAGGCTGAGTTCTTCGAGAAAGAGGAAAGGAAATGGTATTTTGCAGTCATGGCTTCAGAGAAAATTTGAAGGTGGTTATGAAAATCATCGCAACTACTTTGACGCTACTTGTCTTTGAAGTTGCCCTCTGATCCACTATAGAGATTATAAACCAAACTTTGAAAGCTGCCAGGGGGATTGATTGTCTTGAGGATGCCTAGCCCTATTCGTTTACCTTTAGTGCATCTATCCCCGCCCGCCTCCCTTCTTTTTTGTCTTGTGTAATTTAACAGAAGTTGTCTTTTTCTTTTTTTTTTTTAATGTTAATTTATTTTTGAGAGAGAGAGAGAGAGCACCAACAGGGGAGGGGCAGAGAGAGAAACACAGAACTGGCTCCAGGCTCCCAGCTGTGAGCACAGAGCCTGACACGGGGGTTCGAACTCGCCAACCTTGAGATCATGACCTGAGCTGAAGTTGGACGCTTCACCCACCAAGTCACCCAGGTGCCCCAACAAGTTGTCTTTTTCTATTTGACATGGTTTGGGGGCTTAAAGTTTCTCTGGCCTTATTTGAGATTTTTTTGGTTATTTTGTTTTTGTTTTCACGATTAAATTGACATTTAGTTTTGAGTTTTTATCTCAGCACAGAGATAAAGTGCAGTCTCCTCCCACTGCCCATCAGTGGAACTACCTATCTCTGAAATTATTTTAATACCTCTACCAAAGAAATCTTTGATAGGCTCCTGACTTGAAATACTTATGCCCACACCTGACCATTTCATTTGGGGACTCTTATTTGGTGGTAAGATACTATTAAGGTTTTCCAGATTCTCAAAGTTCGGAGGGCTCCCTGTTTAACATTTAAAGATGAAATCCTTGGTGAATTTATCCCACAGATTAACTCATAAAAAGGAAAATTGGGAGTTTCTTCCAAAAACATTGTTGGACAATTAGGTATCATTAGTTATTTAAAATTATGAAATTTTTCATTATAAATATTTGAAGCCATTCAGAGGTGTGTAAGTTAAATGGAAGTTCCTCCACCACACAGTCCATTCCCAAAATAATGACTGTTAAAAGTTTGTTGTGTGTTCTTTCTGACATATTCCTAGATGACACACATCTGTATTGTTTTGATTTTGAAAAATAAAAAGAGATCATTGTATGTAAGCTCAAAGATCTGCACCCCCCTCTCTCCCAATGATCTGTATATTTCTTCCATGTCAGTATATTTGTTGCTTCTTTCTTTTTAAAGACTACCAGTTGTATTCCATAATACAAATGTACCGCACTCTAACCATTCCTCTATTAATGAACATGTACTATGGCTTTAGTTTTTCAGTAATTTATAGTGAGCAACTTCATATACATATCCTTCCCCTCTGGCAAAGAACGAATTTCTTGAGGAATTGCAGGATCAAAGGTAACACAGGTTTAAAATTTTAATAGATACCAGATTTTTCCCTTTGAAAGACGTCAGCATACACTCCTATCAGTAATATATAAATGTCCTTTTCCCTTGTGCTTACCTACTGTGAGAAAATCATTAATCAAGGGCCAATATTTAAATGACTATTGGATTGAATTAAGTAAATGCTATAAAGCATAATTCTAGGTTCCAATTTCTTTTTGACGACAGTATGGAGCAGCAGTGAATTTGAAGTATCTGTCACAAAAAAAAATCCTCACTGTGGTTCATAATTGACAAGTATTCTCGCTAATTGTTATCAGTCAATGGGAGAGCTAATGGTTGAGTTTTATGTCTTTCTTGTAAGGTTGTCACTAAAAATCCCCTTAATAATCTATGTATTATTCTGTAACTTTATCTGAATTGTTTTCAAAGCCTGCAAAGTGTGATACAAATTTCGGCTGGAAATAATGATACTGAAATTATATTCATATTTTTTTGTTAATCATTTACTTAGGTTCTCAAAAATATCTTTCCCTGTAAAATCATTAATTTCCTGAAAACTGCCTCTTTTAGGAGGTTTCACTATGGTTCTAATTAAAATATCAACCTGTGTACTTAATATCCTGGAGCAGAAGAGTTCTGCTAGAATGAATCTCTGAGTGGTGTGCAGGCAGGGATAGCACCTTACCTGAGATCTGAGGCTCCGTCCCTCACCAGGAAAGCCCCCGATCTTGCACAACACTGCTTTGCATACATTTGAACTGTAACTGGGATTTCATATTGTCCTCTAAAGTTTACAACAGACGGTAAATAGACTCAATTTCTCACACTTTGGGATGTATTACTGGTATTTTCTCTTTTGCTGTTTTTAGTTAGAGGCAGTAAGATAGTACATATAGTTTATTAATTGACAATACTTCTAGGAAATGTTTGAGACGGCGGTGATTTGTGACAGGGTTAACCTGTGCATCCATATTACAATCTGCCAGAGTTAACTTTTTTCCCTGCAAATGCATGCTCAGTAGATGACAATCATGGGAATGCTACTTTGGATTTAGAATGTGTTTCCTCTGGAGAGCTTGTTAACACATTTGCAGTATCTCTAGAAGGAATGGGGGTAGCAGGTGGTGTCAACTCCTCATTCTTATATTTGCTATTTCGATAGGTAGCATCAAGCCTTAGCTAGAAACCTAGGGAGCATCCTTGATTCCTATCTTGCCCTCAGGTCCTGAACCTGACCAGTTACTAGGTCTTATTTTTCTGTGCCTGAAATAATCTTTTGAATTTGTTCTTTCTCTTCATCTCTTTAGCCACTCTTCTGTTTCTAACCCTCACCATTGCTGCTGAGTTACTGTGTCCCCCATCCTCCAAACTGTGTTCTTGGGGACCAGAACTTTGACATGTTTGCTTTTGTCTACCCAAGCCTGTCTTGGAACCCTGTCAGTGTTTAATCATTGTTTAACAAGAAATGAATTCTAGCCTGGATGATTGCAAAACCTTCCTGTTGATCTCACATACTCTTGACTTTTGCCTCCTTAAATGCATATTCCAAAACACAAATGTATGAATGCGTCTTCACTTCAAATCTTCAGTGTGGCTCTAATGCTTATGTAATGAGATCTCACTTCTCTGCATAGCATTTAAGATTCTAATCTACTTTTCCAGCCTCATCTTCAGTCACCCTGCTTTCCTTCCCACATCTTCATTATCACACTTACCATAGCAGACTGTAGTTATTTATTGGTAGCTTTGTCTACCCTGGTAGACTGTGAACTTCTTGAGGGTAAGAGTTGTCTTATTTTACTTTTATGCCAGTGCTTATCAGAGTTGCATGAAGTGAACACTCCAGCAGTTTAATGGTTAAAATGTACCTGAAATTTGTTCAGAGTACTTCGAATGGCAGCTATTTTACGCAGAGGAATTGAAATCAAGTAAAAAACTGAGTATATGTTAGGTTTATGAAAGTTATGCACCCCAACTAGAAAATGCAGAAAATATCATCATGAAGATGATATTTTGTCACAGGTAGTCATAATTAGCCTTTTGACATAACTGTGCAGTGATCTTCTTCTTTTTTTTTTTTTCTTTTCTTAATGTTCATCCATTTTTGAGAGAGAGAGCACAAGCAGGGAAAGGGCAGAGAGGGAGACACAGAATCCAAAGCAGTCCCCAGGCTGCAGGCTGTCAGCACAGAGCCCAACACAGGGCTCAAACCCACAAAACGTGAGATCATGACCTGAGCCACCCAGGTGCCCTTCCAGTCTTTTTTTAAGTAAAGTATTAGTGGTGTATGGATAATGATTAAATTAAAAAAATACTTTACATCTGTCCTTTATAACCTTGAACCCATAACTTAATGAACTGCTGCATAGACCTTGAAATTGGTGTCCCATCATCTGCATGGCAGTTATCTGGTTTTCCACAGTTTGTCATCTTATTTCTAGCGTTAATGCTTAAATCCAGTCTCCTACATTTGACAAGACAGTGGAGAGAGAACTAGACCCTATCTTGGAAAAACTGTATTTAAATGTCAATTCTGGTATTTATCAGTTGTGTATGACTATTGCCTATGCTGCTACATTTATGAAAATATAATACCTACCTTGCAGAGTTGTGATTATTTCATTCAATTATGTATTTATGACATGCCAGCACATTTCCCTTTAGCAGCTTGGAATTGAGTAACTATTAGTTGTTTTCAATATAAAGGTATGCCTGAATGAACAATGAAACTGCCTGCTTTCTGATTCTGTATTTACTTAGGAAGCAGTCTGAATTGTGGTGTAACCGGGGAGAAGCTTAGGAATGTGTTGGTGATACCTGTTTAGGCTGCCCTTGCATTCCCGGGAGTTGTCAGGGTGTCTGCTTGTGCTCTGTACTAGTATTGCAACTATGCGCTCTGAAAGCCTTTTATATTATCTTCATACCCTTTCTCACCCCTACCCCGTGCTGCCCCCTCACCCCCAGCTCCCTAAACACACACCCACGTTCAGAGTCAGCAAGAAGCTCAGATAATCTTGCATTCTGGGATGGCCTTG